GATACCTGGCCGATAAAGATTTTCGTTTCGAGGAAAAAAGATAGTATACCTATTAAATCATTTTTATCACTTCGTATACCGCGCCGATACATCGTATCTTTCTTCTACTGTTGTCCGACAGTCGTACGACAGTTCTGTGCTACCAGGGAGTGTATATATATGACTCAACATAACTATTCACCAACTCGGTGGTATATTTTACACACTAAATCTGAAAAGACTTTTATTGTCCACAGAAAGACGCGTTTTTCTGCACATATCAACGTGTACGGTAAAAGTCCTTTCGTATTTAGTGTGTACACACTATTTGCTGCATACATGATCATGTACGCAATATTTGCTACAAACATGTAGGTATTCACCAAATAATGCATACATGCACGCACTTGGGTGTCCAGAGGACTACGCACAGAAACGTGTTATTTTAGACAAATAGTGCTTATTAGAAGGCACACAATGTTCCTTACAGAAAATGTTCTTTCCTTTAGTACAAATTTATTGCGAAACAAGAAAGAGATGTGTCTAAAAAAAATTATCATGTGCTATATGCTTGAGTAAAATTTATTGGAAAGGTCATGACTCGATCTGTATCGGTGCAAACTTCGAGAAATGTCTGATGAGAGGAACCATCCGCGACTCACCGTAAAGGTTAGTTCACACTAAATCTGAAAGGACTTTTATAATCCATAGAAAGACAATTAAATGCGGTGCGACCACACTAAATCTGAAGAGACTTCTGTTCATTGAATGATGCGTTTTTGTGCACGGCTCAACAAGTAAGGCAAATTTTTTTAAGGCGTCCTCAAAGGGACGAGCACAGTTTTTGTGGCCTAGACGGTTCGAAAGCACAGTTTAAGCACAGTTTTTTGGCGTGCTCAGATTTATTTGTGCGTCACTGGGTCCCGCTGGTTTTGTTTACCGCGGCCATCCTATCAAATTACGTTTTTGACGGTGCGTTTGGACACCTGTCGTGGACCCACAATTAAAACAGCACGGCCTGAAAGCACAGTTTTTTAGCCCGCTCTTTTGCTT